CTTTAGAGTAATATTTTTTTCGACCGTACCAATCTTTTTTCGAGTTGTGTTAAGTGACTCTTCAAATAGTTTAAATTTCAAATCTATAATATTCTGGAAAGACAGCAATTTTTCAACAAAAGTGTGAATAACAGGATGAGAAATACATATAAATCGATTCAACGCCGAATGAAAACTTTCCGCTCGGTTATTTGTTCTTTCGGGAAGACCAAATACCGACCAGTGCTCAATTTTAAAAACGCCATTTATATAAGTGTTTTCAAAATACTCAAAAAACACTTTAACATCTTCGTCTTGACACAGTTCTTCTTTTATCATATAAAATGTGTCCCTGATCATTGTTTTTGGCAAATAAGCCAATGACATTAACATTTTTATTAAGGTTTTAAACGAATCACCTTCAACAAATCTTTCACCAAATCCCATAGTTAAAACTCTCCTGTAAAGAGATTGGCAAAAATGAAAATGACAACATTTAACATTAACCTCAGTTCCAAATAGATCTTTGAAATACACAACTTCAAAGTCTCCCATTACAACAACATTTTTATGAAACACTTTTTCTTTACAAATTTCTTCAATCTTATCGAATAATTTTTTGTACGTTTCTTTACTTTTTGAAACAAGACACGAATAAAAAACTGGAAAAGATTCTCCATTTTGCAAACCGTGAATGGTATACATTTGAGAAAACAATTCTATTTGTCAAAAATGATGTAAAAATAATATAAAAATATATTAATATTTTTGTAAAAATGTTTGATATTAGTATATTATAACACTTTAATATCAAATTATTTTATTTAGAATGTATATATATATTATTTTTTAATATAATAATACATATAAATTGTATATTAAATTTAGAAATGAAATATTTTCTATTTAACAATATTATAATATTTTATTTTCAATATTTTTTGTGTAATAATATATTATTTAATATAAAATTTTGTTTCCATATATCTCAATAAACAAACTTGGACATGATTTAAAAGTTCCATCCATCAAAATTGTATTACATGTTTTAAAATAATTTAAATATTCTTTTTTACCAAATATAATCATTTCATAATCTTGGTGCATGACAAAAGAAAGTTCCTCGTTAGTGAATGTGATTTGATCAATTTCTTTTGGGTTTTTGGATATCTGTTTTTGACTTCGCACTATATGTTCACATAAAGATAAACGTTTTGAAGAACCATTGACGTAAGCTTCTGCGACTATTTCCATGGCGCTTTTATTTTTTGAGTTTTCTTTCTTTGCTTCTTCTTTCATGTTTTCAGTACACTTTTTGTCAAAATAAGAAGTGGTGTCATGTTTATGTGGAAGACCCTTTTGAGAACCAGTTTCTTCATATCCAATTGTGTTTCCTTTTTCATCAAAAAGCAATCTAATACGTTTTTTGCATTGTTGGTATTCACATTTAAATAATATGCGTTTTTTATCAACAGATCTAAATTTATAACCATTAATGTATGGTTGAGGATTTCCATGTGTTGATGAAATCATTTCAAATTTAGGAGGTTGAGGAATGTCGGATATAACCAATGGTGTGGTTGTTTTATTTTCCATTGAATATTGTAGATGACCTAATACGTTTCATAATAAAATAATTCTATTTAATCATAAAAAATATAAAATATAATATATATTTATTTATATACTTTTTATTTATTTATTTGTGTTATAATCAATATTTTATGTTATTAAAATACAAATATTATACAATTATTAACATTTTATAATTATACAGTATATATATATTTACAGTTATTCATATAATAATAATATTGTTAATAATTATTTATATTATAATGTAGTTTTCGAATTTAAATAAAAATATATACTTATTTATTTAATATAAAAACCATCTCGATAATAAATATAAATTAACTATAAACATTATATATTTTTGTAATAAATACAATAATACAGATTGATTTATTTTTGTAAACGAGTTTTAAATAAATATTCAACAAAAATTCAAATGACTTGAAATTTTGTTGAAAAATAAAGGCGAAAAAAGGCGAATTATTGAAAAGGCAATTTTTAAAAGGGCAGATTTTCCGTTCCCCGTTCAAATGGGTATTTACTTTCTAAAGGTCACTGTCAAAATACATCATCTTGTCTGATTCAAACTTTTAATAGTACATGTCAAATTTGCAGTTTACACAATTTATATATAATTGACAATGGTAGTTGTGAAATTCCTGATAACAATTCCATAATGGTCAATCAAAATAATATAATTGCTTGTAAAAGTGGGTATATAACAAATTTCAACAATTGTCAAAAGTGCTCAGATCTCTACAAATCAAGTGAAGTGTGTGAAAATGGTCGTCCCACAAAATGTGAAATTGAATTTGAAATAAATAAATCTGGACAGTGTGAACACAATAACTGTTCTGATCCAAATGATGAAAACGGGAAATGTACTTCATTTATCAACAACTGCACTTTCATCACAAATTCAAAGTGTTTGGAGTGTGATAATAGTTTAATTTTAAACAATGCAGAATGTCTTACAAATGACGATTTACAATGCACAAATCAGAGTTTGGTTTCTTGTTTGCGTTGTAAAAATTCTTATTATTTTAATTCATCAACTAATAAATGTGAAAGATGCGATCCAAATTGTTTGACCTGTGTCATGAATCCGACTTACTGTCTTTCATGTCCACCAGGATTTTACATTTCAAATAATATTTGCAAAACAAATTCCGAATTGGTAGGAATTTGCACACAATTTATATCATCTGGTGGATGTGCAAAATGCGCTGAAGGTTATTACAGAAATGGGTTGGACTGTTATAAATGTAATCTTTCATGTTCATTGTGTAATACAAATTCGACATGTTTGACTTGTAATTCAACGAATTACAAAACATGGAGTGGAGACTCTTAACCACAAAATAGTTAAATAGGATGTGATGTGAATGTCACACAACATGGATGCACGCGATGTAAAGACGGGTATTTTCAAGTCAATACAAATGAATGTGAAAAGTGTGAAACAACGTGTCTAACATGTTCATCCAAAAGAAGTTGCGAATCATGTTTATCATCGAAGGTCTTACTTTCAAGTGGAATATGTGTGACACTTTCTCAGATAACAAAGTGTAAAGAAATAAAAAATTCAAAATGCAACAAATGTTCATTCTGGTATGCACCAAGTCCAGATGGAACTTATTGTGAAAAGCGTGCTGTGTGGTGGGTCATACTTGTTGTAGTTCTTTTTATTATATTTGTATTATCGATTCTTGTTATAGTGTTAATATTTTCCACGAAGAGAATTTTAAAAATGATTCACACAAAGGAGCAAGAAAAAACCACAACCATATTCGGAATGGAAAAATCAAATGTCAAATTCAATTCACTTGCAAACAACATTTGCGTCTCTTCAAAAGAACTCAATTTTAATTCTGAAATTGAAGAAATTCCTGTCAACACAGAAACAAAAATTGTGTTTTGTGTTGGCAATATGTCCAAAAACGTCTTGAAAATTCAATTCACCACAACAACACAAATTGACAAATTTACAATAAGAGTAACACCAGAAGTCGTCATGTTAAAAAAGAAGTTTGCATGTGAATTTTAGATATATTTGAAACCCGAATGCACGTGTCGAATAAATAACACCATTTGCATAGTCTCAAAAAATCTCAAAACAAATATCGAAAATATAAATGAAATCATAATGAAAGGAATAACAAGTCAATCTACAAGAATAGATTATGAAGAATTAATTGAAGAATCAAAATTGGGTGAAGGATCTTTTGGTGTTGTTTACAAAGGAAAATACAGAGGAAATGAGGTGGCCATCAAGAAAATGAAACAGACCGAAGACGGCAAAACTGATAGTGGAGATAAATCAGACGTAGAATTTGAAAAAGAAGTTGCAATGTTAGACAAATTCAGGTGTGAGTATATCATCCATTTCTATGGTGCTGTGTTTATCCCAAATAAAATGTGTATGGTTAGTGAATTTGCTCTGTTTGGTTCATTACAAGATTTAATGAAACATAAAAATAGCAAAGAAATTGAAATGAAACTTCGAATAAAATTAATGTTGGATACATTAAGTGGAATTTTGTATTTACACACAAATGGTATATTACACAGAGACATCAAACCAGACAACATACTTGTTATTTCAATTGCTTTTAACAACAATGTAAATGCCAAACTGACTGATTTTGGAAGTGCAAGAAATGTTAACTTGCTAATGACTAACATGACATTCACAAAGGGAATTGGTACACCAGTCTACATGGCGCCCGAAGTGTTAAAACGAGAAAAATATAAAAAGAGTGCTGATATATACTCTTTGGCTATCACCATGTTCGAGTGTATTTCATGGAGTTATGCATATTCCTACGATAAATTCAAATTTCCTTGGTCAATTGCAGAGTTTGTGATTAAAGGGTCACGATTACCAAAGCCAGATGAGATGAATCAAGATATATACGATATTATTAATGGTTGTTGGGAAAACGAACCCACAAAAAGAAGTTCTTTAGAAAACGTTAAATATGAGCTTGAAACTTTATTTAATTACATTTAATGATATTATTTAATTTTTTAAATTAAATTGATAAAAAAACTAATAAATTTAAAAAATATAAGAACAACAGAATAAACAAAATAAAAAAATCGTCACACAACATTTTTTTTACTTTAATGGTTGATATCATTTTTTAAATTGAAACTTAAAAGGTCGAATGACTTAAGTTGAGTTGTCTTATTTATTGTCGCATGATAAATGCAAATGACATAAGAAGGTTTCTTATATCAAGCTAAATATGCAAATTTAATGTATTTGTAATATATCAGCATCAAATATGAAGTTAGGAAAAAAAGAAAAAAGTGCTTTTAAAGAAAATATTCATTCTGTTACATTTGCAACTTTATTAAAATATAGTTTCCTCTGATATCTGTTTTGATAATGAGAACAATTCAAAATCGGTTGTTGTTAACGACTCGGAGTTGTTAGTATTCATAGTTTCAAGTTCAACATCCAATGTAATTGTTTTGTATTTTGAATGATCCGAAAGACTTTTACGATCATCATTGTGTGTTAATAATACCATTATTATGAAATGTGAGTTTTGGTACTTGAATAGCAATAAAACAAGAGTTGATTTGAGCACAAATAATTATCTGCATAGTCATTATAATACTTTGAGGCACCTATTATACTTCTTGTAGTTTGATTCAAAGTTGTCGCTCCAAATTCTCCAATTTTGGATTCAACAGTTAACCTAACAAACCTTAGTTCTTCCCAATGATTGTGTTAATATCAGCTATCTTACTAATAGTTGTAAATGTGGAAATTGTCAAAGATTCAATTGATAATCCATACGCTGTATTGGTTGTTGTTAGATCGGTTGATGATATCAAACTCTGTCTTTGTAATCGAGTGATTTTACTTAAAAAAATATCAATTTTTTATCGATTTTAAGTGGTGCATTACCGTTGTGATCAATCGCAAATGATCTGAAATTGTAGTTTTGAATAATAAATTGACACTTCACCGTTTTTCAAAATTGGAGACATCACATGGACAATTAATAGTTGAAAACTGTTTGTCAAAGTCATATGTTTATGTTGTTAAATAACAAATAAGATCGTATGAATTGGTGCATCCATTGGTTCTGATAGTTTGTTTGTGACTACCTCTGAATGAACAAGATTTGTTGAATACAAAAGAACAACATCAAAACACAAAGAAGGTGCATTTACAATATTTGTGACAATCAATTTCTGTTCGGTATTTTTAGTTATACAAAACAAATCCAGATGCTATTGGTGTCAAACTGATGATTATAACTTAAATTTGATTATGATCATTTTTGTATATTTTGTATCAAATTTATTATCACATAATTTACTATATTCAGGTTACTTTGTTGTTCACGTCAAATTAAGTAAATTCAATTTTTTGAGTTGATGTATAAGTGTGTTCACTGGTATCAAAGAAAAGTAATTTATTATATTTCTTCGTTTGTTTCAAGTCCAAATTTTGTGTAGAAACATTCAAATCATACGAAGAGAGATCAGTCCAAATATCATTATAAATTTACAATAATTGCAAAATAATTATGTTAAGCATTTTTCATCAATTTGAATGTTATTATATGTTATTGTTAAAGTTAGTTTAATAATACAACAAACTAAAATTTGTCAACACAAATTAAATAACATTGAAAAATACCAGTCATTTTGGAATAAAGATGTTTTCAATTTAAATAATATCATTCATGTTTTTAACAGTATATTATATGTCACATAACTTTAAAAAATTAAACATATTAATTTATTACTGTAAAAACAAATCATTCTGATACAAAAGTATTATAAATAGTATTAACAAACAAAAACAAAAAAATTACACTTAATAACTATAATATATCTAATGTATTGTTTAATAAAAAAACTGCAAATTATAAATGATGAACAAAAATAAACTAAATTATAATTATTATTAAAATTGCTAAAATAAATAAATTACCATATAATTTTTTCTTTTTATTAAATGTGGAAGTAGTTTAGTTGGTAAAATGTTTTATTTAAACTTTAATCTTTCTAGATTACAGGTAATAAGTTAAATTACAAAAAGTCGTGTGTTCAATTCACACATTTTTATTTTTTATCAATAATTTTTCATAAAATTTAAAAAATAAATCTATATTTATAGTTTATTATTTAATAATTAATTTATATTAATTGTTTTATAATAAATTATTGGTTTGATTTATTATAATATATAGAAAAAGTGAGTAATGATGAAGAAGTGAATGAATTTAATAACCCGATTGTCCCATGTAATCTTTGAGCTTGTAGACAGCGTCTGAATTCTGTCCAGCAGAGACAGACGCGTCCTTGAAGTATCCAATCAATATGACTTTGATTCCCTTGTAAATTGAAACACCAGCTGCACCAGCCTTTCCAAAAACAGTTCCCTCGTCTTTGTCAGCTCTTGTGACAGTGTATTTGACACCACCAATGTGAAGTCCCTTTGACTGGAAGTCTCCCACATTTCCAGACATGATTGCATTTGCAATAGTTGTTGCTTCTGCTTGTTGGATTGTCAAGCCAACCTGTGACATGATTGCTCCATTAGTCGCAAGAATGATTCCACCGTGGCCCTTGCCTGCACCAATCATTGAAGCTGTGTAACCGTCCCACGACATTTGAATGATCACAAACTGGCGTGTATCTTTATATCATGTCGACACGTCACGTCTTTTATTTGTTTATTTATATTTAATTGCATTTTTAGTTGAAACTATTAGTAAACTATTGCAATGTGATTTTCAAGTAGATCGTGTAAAAATGAACAGTTGATGAAAACTTGAATTACTCTGTCTTTCAAATTCGAGATTGAACTTTTAAATTTAAATTTAATTAATTCGTCATATTTCAAATGGTTTGAAATTTATAACAGATATACAATTTTATTATACAAGTATGGTAAAAACCCATCAAATTGTCTTAAAATTTTTAAGCTTTAAAGCAAATTAATAACGATGTTATCCCGAACAAGTACGATATAAAAACGGACAAAAGAATGTGTTGTATAACAAAAACAAAAACAAAATATTAAAATAAAAACCAAAAAAATTCATTTGTTTAAAACTGTTCAAAACATGATCATAACGAGTCTCGTCTCGTGTAAAACCGTAATAAGTGACATCGAAGAACAAGTTTCAAGAACGCGTTTTGGAGTTGGTTCACATACGTTATCTGAAAATTTCGGTTTTAAATTTGAAATATTTTTATGGTTTTGACCAAACAATTTACAACTTAAGGAGTTTAAGAAAAATTTTAGAAATTTACAAATATGGGACTAAAGTTTCTACGAGTACCAAGGTTTCGACTTATTATTTAATTACTAATTGAATAGTAATGAACAAGTTTTTTAATTTATTTCTAAAAACCGTTCCAAATATAACTTTTCTCATTTAGTTATTACAAGGTTATAAAAATTATTAATTATTAGTCGAAACCACAATCCTGGTCGAAACTTTGGTACCATGTCTGTAGTACTGACTTGTAAATGTTTTTTTTAATTTTTAGTTTAATAATAACTTTTTAATTTTGATGATATATTCGGTCTACATTTAATGTTTATTTTCAAAAATTAACACGTTCGCGGTTTCCCCTTTTATTTTTTTTAAATAGCATAGAAAAAAAGTTAATTTTGCTTTTTCTTTAAAAAAAATCATTGTAAACCCGTTTCATATTTTTGAGGATTTTTTGACACACAATATCTTATTTAAAAATATTACAACAACAGAGACATAATCCTCAAGATTTGAACAAAAAATATAACGAAAAGATAAATTGATTGCCATTTTTGGAATTAACCTAAATTGTTAGCACTTTTCCCGTCGTCAATATTTGTATTCCGATAAAACACAAACCATCATTTTTCTCTTTATAGTACACGACTGTAATTCTATCCATATTTTTCGTGTTCATCGACAATTCAAGACAATTTGAAAGGTTCCGACAGTGGTTTAACAACATTTTTTAATTTTAGACCCAATTTCATGTTGTTGTCATATGAAAAAAATGAGGATTAATATCGATGGTTATCTTCTCGACAAGCAGTCCTTCGTCGCTCGACAAATTTTTGTCATCATCGTGATCTATTTATTTTTTTTTCTACAATTTATTTTTTGTTTTTAAAATTAATATTATAATTATTATATAAATAATAATATCTTTATGATTTTGTGTCGAAACCGACTGATTTTATCACGACCAAAACAATAATCAAGTATTATTCCATTTTCAGCTACTGTTTTGTACGCCCCATTTAAACCAATTTTTTGTCCGTACTGATTGGACGCAGATGTCATTCTCCCGCAAGCGGGTATCCGCGACTGGGGAGGATAAAACGTGGGTAAAACGGTAGCACAGACAGATTGTTTGAGTGCGTTTTCTTGAATTTTTAATACGATGCTTTGTATCACCAACCCAAGGTAAACCTGTTCGACATTAATTTAATTGAAACCATACCAATATTTACTTTATTATTTATATACTATCATTATAATTTATATATATTATTAAATATAAATTTGTTTATTCATTTTTTATTATTTATATTTCACAATGATAAAGGGCAATTGGGTCTTTCATGTAAAAAGTTGATGGAAATTAAAACACACAAAAAAGAAAACTTGTTAAGATTTTTCAGCCTTCTGTAATTGGGATGAAAGAAAACAATAAAAGTAAATACTTTACTTGGAATAAAACAATTAAATCAAAAGAATATTTAAAATAAATCAATGATTCAATTCTTCCAGTTTTTCAATAACTTTTTCGATTGGAATTCTTTCTTTGGGGTCTTGTGCCCAAGCATTTTGAATGATGTCAAACTCTTTTATTGAGATGTTTTGTGGTCTTTCTAATTTTTTACCACTGGTTATGAAATCTGCGATATTCCAAACATGTAGAAACCTCTCATCGTCTTTTTTGAACACAAAATCCAATTGTAACACCTCATACATAGTCATTGCAAATGAATAGACATCTGACGATTTCTTGTATTTCTTTCTGTCCAACACCTCGGGTGCCATATATTTTGGAGTGCCAATACCTTTAGTGAAAGTCATGTTGGTCATCAGTAGATTGACGTTTCTTGCACTTCCAAAGTCAGTCAATTTTGCATTCACCTTCTCATTTACATCAAGTGAGAACACAAGAATGTTGTCTGGTTTGATGTCTCTGTGTAATATCCCATTCTTGTGTAAATATGAAATACCTTTAGCTGCATCAAGTAACATTTTAACTCGCAACTTGGTCTCAATTTCATCACTTCTTTTGTGTTTAATTAAGTCTTGTAAACTCCCAAATTGTGCAAATTCGGTGACCATACATATCTTGTTTGGTATAAAAACGGCGCCATAGAAGTGGACAATGTAATCACATCTGAACTTGTCCAACATGGCAACTTCCTTCTCAAACTCATCAATTGATTTTTTTTCATCTGAGTTGTTTATTTGTTTCATCTTTTTAATTGCAACAACATTTCCTCTGTACATTCCTTTGTACACAATACCAAAAGACCCCTCACCAAGTTTTTGTTTTTCTTCCAACTCATGATAATCAATTCGAGTCGTCATTTTAGTTGTTGCTTTGATTTTAATAAGATACACGTCTTCTTTACCACTTTCTATATCAAGAACAACACATGCGATTGTGTCAGATATGTTACTTGAGAAATATGGTGTTAAAAAGATTTCAAATTCGCATGCAAATCCTTTTTTAAGAGTAACTAGTGGAGGGACACTTCTCACTGAATATTGGTCACACCCGTCTTTAACTGTAAATTGAACTTTTTTGATACTTTTTGATGTGTTTCCAATACATATGAGTTCTCTGTTTTCCTCACACACATTGATCTCATTCGACACGTCATCCCCTGTAAATTCTAACACTTTTTTATTTGATGAAATGCATCCCAATTTTGATATAAAAGCTATGTTCGACCGACTCATTTTAAAAATACACACTTTGCGAAGTTCTTTAGTTTTCTTGTGGTGCATTCTCAGTAAAATGATAATCAACACTATAATAGAAACGATCACTAATATAACAAATGCGCATACGATACCCATAGAAATATATATCGCAATTTTAGACTTGTCAATACACGAAGCACCGTCTTCCGATGGTATTTTATTATCAGAACATTTGGCGCATTTGTTGTTTTCAGCATTTTCACAATATTTAATTTCACTGTAATGTACGCAAGTCAGACCAATTATTATGTATTTGCTTTCACATTTATCACAACTATATAAGTTGGTACAAGTAACACAGCCAACACTACAACTATAACAAAGCGGTTTAGATTCACTCAAATAATAGCCACTTTCACATTTAATACATCCACTTTGTGTGATATTTTCACAATTTGTCATATTCTCAAATGGTAAACACAACAGACTTTCACCATAAATTTTGAAATGATTTGGTGCACATTTTAAACACGAAAATTGGTCATTACAAACTGAGCAAGTTGTGTCACACTCAATACAACTTGACTGTGATTTGTAATAACCATCCCGACATATCGCACACCCAACACCGCCCGGCATCACCTGGCGACACTTCTTTGTCAGATCTTCAGATTTTTCACAAGTGTTTGTCACTCTGTTCAACACGGAACCATCTGCACAACTTAGACAATATGACGTGTTAAAACATGACATACAATTAGAAGAACACTTTTCACATGTTGAAATTAATAACATATTTTGAAGGAAGTACCTATTTGAACACTTTAAACACCCTTTTGTTGTTTTAACATCACAATTTGTGTTATTTTCAATATTTTCACATTTTGATGTGCTTTTATTTGTTGTATAATTATAGATATTATTAGAAATCGCATTTATACATTTTTCTGACGTTGATTTTAACTTTGAAGCTTTTTTATAATTCTGTATTGAAACACAAGTGTTTTCAAAAGGGAAGAAACCACCAAAACATTCAACTGTTTGCGGGACATCTTCATTTGATTTTTGATAACTGTATTTTGAATTTACATCATCACTTCTTTTTGAACAAAAATGATTATTATCATTGTTTATATTTGTGTTTGTAAAATAATAATTGTCAAAGCATTTGGTACATCGTTTACCATCCCCTGCATAACACGAAAGTTGTTTGAGTGATAAGCAATTCCCATTAATTGGGAGATGTGTATTTTCGCATTGAACGCATTTACAATTAACATCATATTTAACACAATTAGTAACAGAACAAGTTGCACATATGTTGTTGATTTTACTTGAAAGTTGTTTGCATTTAACACAATCATTTGATTCAAACACACCACAGTTTGTCGATGTCATACACTTGTTTGATTTTAAATCCAAAAGTGAATTTTGTTCACATTTTATTATAAATATGTTATCATTAGATTGAACACAAGAAATTGATAACACGTCTTTAGAAAAGCATTTGATACACAAATTGTTTGAGTCTAAATAGTTGTTGTTTTGACACTTAAAAACGTTTCCATTTTTAATCAAATTTTGTGTATCATCTTTCACACAAACTCCACTTGTTATTGTCGAGTTTTCTTCACACTGCAAACACGAAACTTTATTTGTTTGTGTTTTATAGTAATTACATTTTAAAGTGTCCAAGTCATCTGTTATTTGACAATTTCCAGTGGAAGAAATCCCATCACCACACTCTTCACATGTTATTTTACTTGTCTGCTGGCAAACTGAATTTGTGAATTGCACACATTTGCCATTCAATAAATAATTTGAGGGTTGACATTTCAAACATTTTTTGTTGTCATTTTGTGTAGTGCAATTTGTTTCATAATTGTCACATTCTTTTGTGTTTTTGTTGTATATTTTGTTTTCACACAAAATGCATTTTCCATTGACTAAGACATAAGGTGTAAAGCACTCTTCACACACCGCTTCATATTTTTGTTGACTCATCAATGTTTCATTGTTTTTGCATACCTTACAATTTGTTATATTGTTATAACAATACTCACATGTATTTACACTACTTTGATACATTTGAAGTTGTGTAGGACAGACACACTTCCCATTAGATACTTCAAATGGACTGTTACATTTAATACAAGTCTTGGATGTTGTACTGCATTTGTCGCAATTCGGTATTTCTGAACAAGCAGCACATATCTTATTTGATGGGTAATACCCCTCGGAGCAATTTAAACAGCCACGTAGTCCATCACATGTTGCATTACAATTTGAATCACATTGGTAACATAATCCATTTTCAAGATATGTATTATTGGTGCAACCTTGACAATCAGAAAGTGAAGTGCAGTCAGAACACGATGAGTCACATTTTGAACACGTTTTTGATTCTGGATAAAATCCTTTGTTACATGTGGTGCATCCCAAAGTTGGGTCACACATTTTACACTCTTCTCCACAACTTTTACAAATGGAATTTTCAAGATAATAATTGTTTCCACAAGAAAGGCATTGGGTTGATGTCTGGTCACATGTCTTGCAATTTGAATCACACTTTTTGCACATTTTATCAGAACTATAGTATCCATCTACACAATCAAGACACCCCTCTGTGGTGCTACAATATGATGAAGTTGTTCCTTTACAATGTACATAACAAGCAACACAATTGTAATCATTTAAATAAGTTCTTTGTTTACATGAGGTACAATTGGTTGAAATCACATCACAGGTCAAACATGTTGAATCGCATTGATCACACATTTTATTATATGCATAATACCCGTCAACACACTTTGAACAGCCAGTGGCTGTGTCACAGTGTGTACTTGAATCAACACATTTTGAGTCACAAGACAAACATTGATAGTTGTCCAAATAAGTTCCTGTTTTACAACTGAGACAATTAGAAGACAACTCTCCGTAACACGTTCTGCATTGACTATCACAACTTTTACACATTTTTGAATTTACAAAATAGCCAACAGCACACTTAGTACATCCCTGGATTACATCACAATTAGTTGGATTATCAACACAATTGATATCACACGTTTTACAATTGTTAACATCGAGATATCTCCCCAAATTACAACTCAGACAGTTTGATGAGGAATTGCCGTTGCATGTATAACATGTATTATCACATACTGAACATTTTTTGTTGTTCACATAAAAGCCATCTTTACATTGAATACACCCACTTGATGAAGTGCAGTGTGTTAACGTGTCAATACAATTCGAATCACAGTCAATACATTGATGTGTCGAATCATTCAAGTACAATCCACTTGCACAAGAGAGACAATCAGTCGATGTAGTGCCACATGTTAAACAATTTGTATCACATTTCAAACACCTTTTCCCACTTTTATAATATCCACTTTTGCACTTCATGCAGCCATCTTCTTGTAGACAATACCCAACTTCACAATAACCTTCTTCACATGTGATACATTTGTTATTCTCAATAAAACTGTCATTGTAACAACTTAAACAATTGGTGGACACAATATCACACGTTTTACAAGTAACACCACATTTGGTGCATCTGTAGTTTTGAGGGAAATAACCTTCAATACACTTAGTACAACCATCAACAGTACTACAATACCCATATGCACAATTTGGATCACAGTCATTACAAGTCTTGTTTTGGGCAACGAAATATTTCCCACTTTTACAGCTCAGACAACTTGAAGAAGTCCCCCCATTGCATGTATTGCAATTAGAATTGCATGGTGAACACATTTTGTTGTTGACGTAAAACGCATCTTTGCATTTTATGCATCCATTAATGTTATTACAACTTGGTCCAAAATCAAAACAGTTTGAGTCACATGACAAACATTGCCCATTTTGTAAATATCTTCCACTTCCACAACTTAAACAATTTGAAGCTAATGGACCACTACACGTTTCACAAGTCGAGTGACATGTTTCACATAGTCCTGAGTCAAGAAAATTGAATCCAGTAATACAAGTGCAACTTTTGTAATGCACATAACCATCATCACATTTGATGACTTCTCCTGCAGCACAATAATAGCACACAAAACTTTTATATCCAAAAAGTTTTGAGCCATACGGTATAGCACTTGAATTGACTGTAATAAAATTGACGTATAGTTCTTTGTTAAATACCAGTAGGCATTCATTTTGAAAAATAAGACTACTTATTGACATGTAACTATCAAACGTAATTTGAGAATTTTTACTCAGTGAAAGCATTTGTAAAATGATTGTACTTGAAGACGTCAGTATATTTGATACACCTTCCTTCACAATCACTGTATTCCACGAACGTTGAACAAAAGTCCACTGTGTCCCAGCAGTCAAATCCAAATTGAAATACGTTGAATTGTTCGCACAGTCTGGAAAATTGTAAGAAGTATCAACCAGACCATAATAAGTGGGAATACACACACACACTTTATTAGTTAGATCCTCAGTGTGTACAGTTAAAACTAACATATACCGAAATATATTTCTTTTATAGCAAACGACAGCAACTTTAAAATCGGCGTATGCACCACTATCAATGAAAGTCACACTGTTGGGATTAATTTTTCCAGTAAAGAGGTACATCTCAACAGTGAAATTATTTGACAACGAAAAGCCACTAAAAGAAACTTCGACACTTTGAGAAACATCACCATCAATATAAACAAGAGGTACTGTGGTAAAAACATTTCTTGTATATACAATTCTGAATCTTTCATCAATTTTTGAGTATAAAACAACACCTTTGTCCGAGACATAAATAAAAGGATTTGCATTGGAATATTGAGAAGTACGACAATTAGTTGTACTCCCAAAACATCCAAAAGTGATGACTAAATTGTTTGGTCGATTTTCTTCTTTAACGTACATCCGCTCGGCTTTCGGTCGATTTCTCATAAAGAAGTATTTCATATTGACGCCAGAAGAAAATTCGAAATATCTATCAGCAGCAGAAGTTGCACTTGTAAGGTCCGTGTCCGCAAACGTTTTCATCGCGTTTGTGCAGCACTGGGATGTAAAAGTAAATCGATCATAAGAATAGTAACCAACCGTCCATTGTGATGAACTGCTGCCAGTATTGTATCGAATTTCATTATTGACTTCTCCCCAATACCCATATGAAAGTCCTATCAATAGTAACAATAAAACAGCCATTTGTAATGATTTGCTTTGACAGTCCACATTTTTATAAACGAAAAAAGATTCTTGTTGTTTTACAACAACAGGTAGCTGAATATTGATTTAAAATTAGAATATAGAAATTTAAATGAAAGATTTTATGATCGTAACAAAACAAGTTGTATTGTTTATTTATCATTATTGCTACATAAAAACATAAAAACTTTCATTTTGAAAAACTTATAAAAAGACAACATCATATTTCATTATAAAAATCCATGTTTTAAGACCTTTTTATGTTTTTTAGTTTTACCAAATATTTTTATTCAAATACCGAGTTAATAATTCTAATGATATTATTGTTATAGAATTTTAATTCATCTAATAGTTATTCTTTAAAGGTTTGCAATCAAACCTTTAAAACAGTAATTTTAAAATGTGGATTCTCTCAAGAATAAGAATTTTATTAAATTAAACCTTAGACCCCACTCTTTAGAAACCAACTTTTTTTGTATTATTTTTTAATGATCATTCTTATCTAAAAAAATATATTGTAATAACAGAAAAATTAAAATCCATTGAATTATTCTTTTTTAAATGGTCACATTGAGTTAGTGGATATTAAACTAAATCGATCATTAAAGGGGTGTACATTCTCTAAAGATTTAAACCAATTCCTCTTTAAACAAAAAAGAGGAATTGATATATAACAAGTGAAATAAAATATTGTTAAGACTTCAGTATAATACAAACAACAATTTAATTAAATAATTTTTATTATTTGTATATAAATGATATATAAAACATAGAAATAAAATTAGACAACATTTTAGTGTTATCACTTAATGTCAAAAAAAGTAATGCTAAATTATTTGACTTTGTTAGTTCCAAAAACGTCAATTTACTGATGACTAACATGACTTTCACAAAAAAAATTGGCACTCCAAAATATATGGCGCCCAAGGTATTTGACAGAATAAAATACAAAAAAGCGTCTGATGTCTATTCATTTGCTAGACTATGTTTGAGTTTTGTAATATGATTTTGTGTTTCAAATCATCAAAGATACACTTTAATTGTATTTTTATTTTTTACAATTAAAAAAACAGAAAACTGTTTAAAAAATTTCAAAACATAATTTAAAATCAAAAACAACAATAATCACATCAATACAATAAATTTTATAACTTAATTCTTAGTTTTTAAATTCAATACGGTTCTAACTTTAAAGAAACAATTAATAAAAAATAGATAAACTGAAAAAAATAAAGTTTTTTACATTTAAAATAACGCCCTTATTTTTGTTTTGGCCTGTTCTTACAAAGATATTAATCCAAGTTTTTATGATTTTCCTTTTTTGGCTTGTGTATAGTTTATGCACAAAATACAAACTCTAAAAAAACGGAAATTTATTTAATAAATTCGAGATTTCCTGATTTTTAGACCACTTGAATTATGTTCAATGTTATTTAAAGTGTTAATATGAAATTAATAATTGAAAATAACAATAATGTGTAAGATTCATTTATTAATATTTTTCATTTGAATTTTTGGTTTTGAATCCATTTCAAAATTCAAATCGTAATCACTCTGTTGCATCACAGGGATTTCATATTTGAGTGAATTAATACAAGCAAATTCAATCAATTTATCAACATTCAAATTGTTCTCTGCAGATGTCTGAAAATATCCGAGCGCTCCAATTTGTTTAGCCAACAAGACTCCTTCGTCATCTTTTACAAAATTAGAACGTCTTATAATGTTCTCACTTTTTTCAAAACGTAAGTCGACTTTTGTCTCGACCAAAACAATCAGTGAATTTTGGACAAACCAATTTGCCTCTTTCAACCATTTTTGTTTGACATCCTCAAATGATGTTTTTGAATCAGCAGAATAACAAACAAAAAATACAGTCGCATTGATAAAGGAAAGTCTCCGCAATTTGTCATATTCATCAGCACCAGCTGTGTCGTAAAAAGTAATTTCAAAATTTTGATCACCAAAGGATTTATTAATTTTTTCTGAATCAAAAACAGTTGGAATGTATAAATCCTTTTTTGAATTATACTGATTTATATAAGATAAACAAATTGAAGTTTTGCCAACAGCACCGTCGCCAATTAAAACTATTTTGATTGGAATTGCATTTTTTGACATTGTTTGATAAATCGAGTTTCTTTTAAAAATAGATTACTGTGAGTGTTTTAATAATTTCATTTTTTAGTTATATTTAAATATATACTTGGGGGGTGTGAGGAACCTGACGAAACTAATGGGCTTGACCTATTGTTTTATTATCTTTTTTACTATACAGAGTTTTCCCGGTTCTATTTAAAAAATAACAAAAACTATAAATAATTTATAAAAAAAATGTCAAAAAAAGGATTCTTAAGGGTTTCTTGAGGATAAGGTGTATCCTCAAGATCAAAGCTATCCTTATTAAAAATATTTTTCTGAGGATACAAAAATAAAAAACATAAGGTTCAGTTCCCCATAAGGCCCACTTTCATAACTCAAGTTATAATTTACACTTAATATTTCGAGTTAAAGTTCGAATTTTAAATAATGGTAATAATTTGTCATAAATGCCAAAAAATTAAAAACAATCAAAAAATCGATACAATAATTTATAAACATAAACAATAATTATATCTCGCGAACTTGAGACGGGAAATAACAAAACGTGAATTATACTTGTTCATATTATGATTATAAACTTATTGAGATTATTTCCGAATCCGTCTTTATAACATAATAATTAAAATTTACGTTTAAATTGATAATTGTTTTTTTATCAAAATGAAAATTGAAAAAGTCGAAAACACTGATTTTTTAAAAATGTGATTTAAAAATAACAAATATATTAATAATTTTGTAATTTATGCAATTATTCAAATTTATTGTAATAACAAAGTTAATCATGTTGTGTATATTTTAATACGAATGTTTCATTTTGATATTAACTTATGTTTTAAACAAATTTACAGTTCTGAGGATGGCAATCATTTTCTGAGGATGACAGAAATAGAAAGTTTACACTTTTACATCTGTCTGAAATGTATATTGAGTAAGTTACTATTTTTGAATATGGGAACACGTCATTTCACTTTTTAGATGTTTAAGTCTGTGTTGATAATGTCTGTTTGTTACACGACTTACCATCCTCAGAGATATTTATAGCACTGCCACTATTGATTTAAAATTCTATAAATAAAATTATCAAAGAAATTTTATAAAGTGAGTTTTGTTAATTGATTATATCAAAAATCGTCAAAACATAACAAAAACGCCAAATAATATATAAAATTGATTAATAAATTGAACACATTTCTATTGAGAATTATTATTGTATAATAAAAAATAATATAAACATTTATTTCTTGTGTATATATGTTTTGAAATATAAATAAAACCGTTTAAAACAAAAATGATTTTATTTTAAAAATTTGTTCATTTATCAATCGTTGTTTTATCGATCTTCAAAACCTCTCTTTTTGAATTTGCGCAAATACATAAATTGTCATCGCATAAAGTATACATTATTAATACGTTATTTGCTATCAATTTTTATTGTTTGAAATATCATAAATTGATTTGTAATAAATTGTATTTTTTGTGAAAAAGATTAAAAATTGTTAGATTAATTTGTTTTGTGATTTTGATTAAAAAATCGACTTTTTCGATAAATTAAATTAATTTTTATTGTTTTCATATGAACCAAGGTTGGTCAAGTTGTAAATCAAAAAAAAGAAATAGATTATTTTTTTGTAAAAATCAACTGAAAGAATCATCTTTCAAAAAATCCGTAAATAGCATTTTTAAAGAAAATCATGTGTTTCAAAATATACCTTATTTATCTTAGGCAAAAAAATCCAAAATGAAAGAAATTGTGTTTAATATATTTACCATCTTCAGAAAAAATAACAATCCTCATGAATCCCTTTAGCTTATCAAAATAAAATAATATGTTTTTTTGAAAAGAGAAGGTTAGCAACTTTCAATGTTATGAAGATAAATGAACAGCTTATTTTCATTGTTTAAAATAATCAAGAATTAATTCACAAAGCTTTAATTATTTTTGTTTATATGACAGCACAAATACAACTTCTTTCAACAAAGACGGGATTTCCTTTAGCAATAATAAACAAGTTGTACCTCATACAAGCCAACTCGTCTCACCATTTGGCTTGTGTATTCGGCTTTGTTAAAACACTAACTTACTGAATACTCTGACAATTGAAGATCAATTGACACCAATTTCGCAGTATCTGAAGACGGCGAGGTTTAAATCGGATTTATTTTTGGATGAGAGAACATAGTGATAATGATGGCAGATCACGACAAGTTCTAAGAAAACAAGGAGAGCTGAGAGAGCATATTTATGTTTCCGTTGCTCATCATACCAAAAAAGTGTTGGGAGCATTAGAGAGCAAAACAACTAAAACATCATTGCTGCATCATATAAGCGTTCTGGTGTTGTTGCAGTCAATATTGTAAAGATCAAAAGAATGTTCATTTTATCAAAGAGACTTCCAGGTTGTTTCAAATAGCCAACGGTGTTTTTACCAGAGAACACTTGAAATTGTTTATTCTTCTGCCTAGATCAACATATTTGGTCAAAACCGAAGAGGAAAGTTTGCCTTGGAATATCCAAAAGCTGAATTAACAACGAGAGCCATATCAAACAATAAGAATAACGCTTACCGACAACTTAATTGAGAAACAACTAACAAATACCCAAGTCCTTTTTAATACAATTTCAAGTTCTGATTTTATGCTAAGGATGAACCAATACTTTTATTGTTTATAAACTATAACTTATAAATCAAAGTTGTGTTTTTAAATAGAACATTAAAAATAGTTTTATTTAAATATAGTAAATAAACCATTAAAAGTATAAGTCAAGCCCCTCAGTATTTTTAAGCCCCTTACTTACCCTACTGTATTCGTATTTAAATTCAAATTGTTTCTTTTGATTTTTTTATTTAAAAAAATTGCAAAAATGATTAAAGTGACTTCCCAAAAAGTGCAAGTTAGTTTAAAGGTGTGCAAATTAAGATATAGTTCATTTATATTATTTATTAAAAAATATAATTACGTCAAAGTCGCTTATTTGTGGGTTTTCTTGCATAAAAAGCTGTCTATTTGTAGGTTTTGCTAAGAATTAGGAAGAATAATTTTTGATTTCTTTTAATTATCAAAAATTAATAAAAATAACCATATTTGTAGTTTTTATTTTTTTAATACAGTAGGAGTAAAAATATAAGATGCTGAGAAAAAAAGTGATTCTAATCTGAATTTAAATTTATTTTTGTGTATTTCATTTTTTAATTATTTGAATAATTGGTTTTTAATAAATATTTTTATTTTTATTAAAAATTACAAATAGTTGCAAGCATCCTCCTTTTATTAGCATACCCATATGTCCTTTTATTGAAATTATTTCTTTGATATTGGAAGTTTTTTGATGTTTATTTATTTGTTTTATTAAATAGAATATAATATATAACAAAGTTAAATTTGGTAATAATTTCAAAAACCTAAATGTGCTTTCTTTGTATTTTCCAACAGAAAATAATAAATACAAAATTATTTGGGTTTTTTTTAATTTAGAAAAATTATATACAGTCAAAGGCGTGTATTTGTCGTAATTATAATTGTAGAATTTGCTTAATTGTCGCACAAATGGCCAATCATTTTGGTTTACGACAATTAAATATTTTGTTCTCGAATCTGTAACTTTTGGTGAATTAAAAACTAAATTTTTGTTACAAAAAAATTCTACACTATTCACTTATTTACAACAAATAGATACTTTTTTTCTGCTGGATTTACGACAAATAAACGCCTTTGACTGTAGATAAAACATTTTTAGTGTATATGAGTAAAAAAATAATTATATTGTTTGTCTGATGTATATTAATTTTATCAGTATTCAAATTGAATAAAAATAGCAAAATAGCGAGTTACTCACTGTTCGATCTTTGAATATTCTGAACCTTTCTTTTTCTTGATAGTAATGATGACCACAACGACTACTAAGATAATAACGGCAATAAGTAACACACCACCCACAACCCCCAAAGTGATCCAGAGCCAGGTCAAATCTTCTTCCGAGCTCTCAGAGAGTTCGCTCGAGCTTTGAGTGTTGTCAGTGAAGCAGTTCAAGTCCAACCCAGGCAAGTAATATTCAATAGTAACTGGGACTTGCGTAGGGTCTGTGTATTGATGAACAATTTTAGTCTCTTCAGAGTACTTTGCACAGGCCCCACAGTTCCCATCAGTTAAAGGTTCCGTACATACAATTGGCCCACATGTGTTCTTCTCAGTCACTTTGTTGTAAAGACACTTCTCGCACTTCCCAACAGTCTCTGTGCATTTTGTACACACGAAATCAGTGCACGTGTATTCCGCACAATAATTCGATTGGTACTCACAGCGGTCGGAACACACGGCGTCACACTTGGAACACGTGAAGTCGTCATTCATGAAATACCCAGCAAGGCACTCAACACATTTTGTTAAACCAGATAACCCAACGCCATACGTCTTACAATTCTCTGTGCGTGGAACACAAATTTTGGTGTTCGTAGAATCTCTTTTATACTCAGAACTTCTACATTGCTCACAATCACCAGCTACATCCCATGAGGTGCAATTACTCCCTTTGTAAAGACACATAAAAGTGTTGTCATTCACAGTCTCAAATACACAGTTTTGTCCTGACGCAGAACACGCTTCTTCACTCTCAGCTAATTCATTGCATTTGTACGCTTCGTTGGGGCTTTCTTATTGTTATTTCAATTCATATAGAACGGTTTTAAAAGTAATATAATTATATTAATTAAAATACTATTATTATTACAACTAGACAAGTTTATAATAATTAATAGTTTGTAATCTATTAAAATATTAATTAAAAATTTAATAAAATTTGTAGTTTGCTCGTTCAAAATTTTATCATATTTTTATTATTATTAATAATATTTAATTATTATTAATTATATATAGTATATTTAAACCATATATTTTAGTATTAAATATAAATTATAATATATATATAGTAAATATAGTAAAAATAAGAATAATTATATTAATAATAATGATAATTAAAGAATATAACTATTTTTATTAAACTATAATCATATTATTATTTAATATTAAATATTTAAAATAAGAAAAAGAAAAACAAACTCAAACATGTACCATCTGTCTGTAATATATATTCTGGTAGACATAATGAACACGTTGTGACACCGTTGTTTGAGGTACAAACACCACACCCATTTGTGCATGCTGTTTTTTAATATCAAAAAATATAATACTTTTACTATTAAAAAGTGTTATTATTAAATGTTTTTATATAACAACACGATATAATATTAAGACAAACCTTCACACTTTTTCGTCTCAGTGTCATAGGCATAAGCACTCTCACACGTCTGGCACACTTCAGAAGAGCATACAGCGCAATGTTCAAAACAACTCTTACACGTCTTTTCTGCCGAATAAAATCCATCGTCACAATCAGTGCATTCTACCTTCGAAGAAGAGAAGAGGCAGTGCTCTCCATAGATTTCTGTTGCACTTGTACATGTATTGTCATCCATCAAAATATAGCTAGGAAGACACTCAACACACGTCGCCGCTTCGCTGGCTGTTTCAGTGTAAATGTTACAATAAGGCGTGGCGCCCTCTGTAATTCAGTTAAGTTACATATACTATAATTATAACTCTATTTTATTATAATAATAAAAAAAATATAACTATAATGCAATAGTATAATTATTATTAAAATAACTATATATAATTATAGTAAGACTATATAGTTATTATAACTATTAATATAATATGATTAACAAACGTTCACACGTGTACGTGGAAGTGTTTAAGTAGAACCCTGTGACACAAGACTTGCACTGATATGGATGGTCAGGGGAGTCATAAGCCGTGCAGTATATATCACTTGTCTCACACGTGTTTTGAGCTGTTGGGTAATAGTTAAGAGCACATTCAGTGCATTTGCAATTTCCATCATAAGTAGTGCAATGCGCAACTTCTTCACACTGGGTGCAGACTTCGTTGACTAAGAGATAGTTGAAGTAACACGTCACACATCGGCCATTTGTATTATAAGACAGACATCCATCTGTTCCCTCTTATTGTTAATATTTAACAAGTTGTTGTGTGTGTGCTATTAAAGGTGTGGAATAACAAACCAACACAGCCCTTTGTGGTTTGATCGAGTTTATATCCAATTTCACATTGTTGACATGTGTCTTCATATACTTGAGCACAATTAAGAGCACTTTTGTCTATTGGTCATTTTCTGTATTTTTTAACACCACATGAAAATGAAATTTAATAGTAATTTTTATTATTTGGTATAGAATTTGTCATTATGATAAAATAATAATATATAATAATAATATATAATAATGTTATAATACATACATAATATATTTAATTTAATTAGCAATGATAAAGTAAACTTATTCTAATACAGTTATACTAAATTAAAATGTTATTAATAAATAATAGTTTTATAAATTATAATACATTTAATAATAAAATATACTATAAATACTATATTTACAAAAATTAATTATTATATTATTATGATGTTAATTAATAAAATATTTCATATGATTTATATTTAGTTTTAAATATAAAATAATGTTAAATAACAATCAACAATGTTATAAAATATACATGTGTATAAACTTAGTAAGTCGTCACATTAAATATTGTAGATGTATTGTATTAAATATTAAAAATATTTTTTTTTATTAAATAACAAACGAATGCATACACCATCTTTCAATATGTAATTTGTTTTACACCCAGAACACGTAGTACTGTCTGTGGAACATAAAACACACGACGCCGTCGAACAATCTGGGTTTGAGGTTTCGGCACTAATTTGAACAACCAGGAAGGCAGTTAATAAGACTATCATCTGATTTTTTTTGTTTGAAAACGAACTGAAATATATATTTTTTTTATATCCTTTGGAAACTCGTCACTGCATATTAAAACATTTTTAGAATAGATTTTTAAAAGAATTTTTGAGAATTTTATTTATTTTAAGTTAATAAACATTTTAAGATTTATATGTTTTATTTGTGTCTGTTTTATTTTAAATACAAATTGTTAAGAACGTCATTTAAACTCGAATAAGAAGTCACATATGTACTATATACATTTCTATATTAATACAGTAACTCAAATTTGTTTATAAACTTTGTCTGTTCCTCAAATGTTGTTTTAAAGACAAAAAAGTATTGATTTTTGTTTTAAAATACGGGAATTAAATAAAAATAAAAAAACAAATAAAAATGAAACAATGATTTTCAAGTTTTTTTTAAATTCCTGAAATATTCTGCTTATAATTATCCAAAAATTGTTGGACAACATTCAGACCAGACAAAGTTCAACGAACGACTAATGTAAATAAATGACTGTTATATTATAAAATTTATTTATTTACACGAAAATAACAGCAAACTTATTTAATTGATATAGTTTATAATTGATTAAAATAGAGACCTATACTTTTATAAAAACAAATTTCTTTAAGAGGTCTATAATTATACTATATATTTTTAAGAGCTAAACAGTTTTTTGTGTTCCATTAAAAAATAGATATTTTCATATTAGTATTTAAGTTAAATATATAATATAATAGAATAGAATAGAATAGAATAGAATAGAATATAATAGAACGAAAAAAGTGGGATGCTGAGAAAAAGGGAAATGCTAATTTAAATATTAATTAATTTAATATTATTAATAATAAATAATTAATATTAATTTATTTTGGTTTTTTCATTTTATATAATATATAATATAATAATTTATATTAAAATTAATAATAATTTAATAAATTTTCAATTGAAATTAACTAATAGTTACAAGCATCCTCCTTTTTCTAGCATCCCATATTTCCTCCTACTGTATATTTAGTCTTAACATTGTTATAAAGTAAAATCTGAAAGAACAATAAAATGATAAAATAAATATTGGAAACGGCTTCTCAAAAAATTACAATTATATCGTTTAAAAGGTCCAGTAAATAATAAAAAAAAGTATAATTGATTTTTATTATAAAATTATTTTAATTTAATTAATCATTTTATTACATTTTAAAACAAATATTTAGTTTATTATTTACATATTAAAAACAAATAATATTTATAATAAAAATTGTATATTTGTTATAAATTTCAAATTAATTAAAATAGAAGAAATTAATGAACAAATGGATTTTAAATAAATAGTTTCATCTCGAATTTGAAAGACAGAGTAATTCAAGTTTTCATCAACTGTTCATTTTTACACGATCTACTTGAAAATCACATTGCAATAGTTTACTAATAGTTTCAACTAAAAATGCAATTAAATATAAATAAACAAATAAAAGACGTGACGTGTCGACATGATATAAAGATACACGCCAGTTTGTGATCATTCAAATGTCGTGGGACGGTTACACAGCTTCAATGATGGTGCAGGGCAAGGGGCCACGGTGGAATCATTCTTGCGACTAATGGAGCAATCATGTCACAGGTTGGCTTGACAATCCAACAAGCAGAAGCAACAACTATTGCAAATGCAATCATGTCTGGAAATGTGGGAGACTTCCAGTCAAAGGGACTTCACATTGGTGGTGTCAAATACACTGTCACAAGAGCTGACAAAGACGAGGGAACTGTTTTTGGAAAGGCTGGTGCAGCTGGTGTTTCAATTTACAAGGGAATCAAAGTCATATTGATTGGATACTTCAAGGACGCGTCTGTCTCTGCTGGACAGAATTCAGACGCTGTCTACAAGCTCAAAGATTACATGGGACAATCGGGTTATTAAATTCATTCACTTCTTCATCATTACTCACTTTTTCTATATATTATAATAAATCAAACCAATAATTTATTATAAAACAATTAATATAAATTAATTATTAAATAATAAACTATAAATATAGATTTATTTTTTAAATTTTATGAAAAATTATTGATAAAAAATAAAAATGTGTGAATTGAACACACGACTTTTTGTAATTTAACTTATTACCTGTAATCTAGAAAGATTAAAGTTTAAATAAAACATTTTACCAACTAAACTACTTCCACATTTAATAAAAAGAAAAAATTATATGGTAATTTATATATTTTGGCAATTTAATACAATTAATAAAAATATTATTTAGTCTAATAACAACAAACTCAAAAAACATTTATGAAGTAATATTTCAAATTATAAAAATTGAATAGAAACGTTCATACAAATTATCACCAACAATAGTAATAAAACAAGTTCTGTCATTTTTCTAATACTATTTAAAACAATTGGTTCATCAATTAAATCTGAAAACACCACATTCTTTCCTTCTTTTAATACACACTGGTTTTTGTGTATTTTTCGACTTTAATTGCTTTTCCATCACACGTTTTTCCATTAAATTTTTTGAGTTTATAAGTGTCATTATTTGTTGATGCTTGTAATGAGGTTGTTGTTCCAATTTTTGTGCAGTTAATTTTATACAAATTAATTTGTGGCGCTCCAATTGTGTCTTTTAAAATACAATTTTCTGTGTTACCATATTTAAATTGTGAGACTTTAAACTTTGGGTATTCTTCTAAAAACTCTACAAATCGAATATTTGTGTTGTTTCAACTTCTTTTAATGAATTACAATCAACACCAACAAAATACATCACAACATCGTTTTTCTTTGAAAATTTTAAAGAGCCACTTTCACCATCAAAATAACATTTATTGAACTGGTAAACTATTTTAAAGTCACTTTTTGTAGCAACACAAGTTTCACCACCTTTTAATACACCTCGTATTATTTCTTGTGAGAATATTGTCCTTTTATATAAACACAATTTCAGTACACTCACCAAAGTTGTAATATTCAGTTGTCTGCTGACCAACACATGACATCTCTGAATACTTTGCAATTGTGTACACGTCACCGTTTTTACCGTATTGAATCGACTTATCTCCACTCATAATATAGCACGTCGTGTTGTGTATTATAATGGTTTGCTCAACTTCATCTACAGAAGAAACACATTGATATAAATTACCAAAGTAATTTTCGACTAAATCGTGGGGAGGAAGTCTCTCTGTATATTCAGATGTGTATGCAAAATCAGCTGATTGGTATTCTACAAGTTCAAATGATGTTAATCCATACAAGACTATGATTATTTGATTTATTCGAACAAATTTAAGATAAGTGTTTTCTAGTGTAATGTGCACTTTATTAAATTCAAAAACGTAAAGACCATTATCTACGTTTTTTGTTTCAAATTTGGTTGTATCAGAAATAGTTTTCTTGGGTTTTGTAGATATCAAATAAAAAATTGTTAGATTTGACCATCATCAAAAAGTCCACATTCACCTTTCAAATTTATATTTATCTCATTAGTTTCATTAGAACAGTCAAATGTGGGGAAATACATATATATATATATATGAATCACCACTTTTATTTATTTTTAGTGAGCCACTTAGTGTCACTGTACATTCATTAACATTTTCTATTATAAATTTCGAGAATGCGTTTTCATCTTCAAAAAGACAATTTGAATGTAAGTTGTAAACTCCTCGCATTATATCATGTGATGGTAGTGTAACTAAATAATTAAATGTTCCCGCTGGTTCTTGGTTGTCTGTTTCATAGAGAGTGTCACATGAGTTTCCTTCATAAATTTCGGTAATATCATTATAATGTAATATCTTGATATACAATACTTTCTCATCATTTGTACTATTATAAACACACTTCCCAAGCTCAAAGTACACCATTTGATGCGTTTCATGATCATAAATTTCAGACGCATAACTCGCATTTTCATCAACTGCACTTTCAAAAATTGCATCTGCAAAAATGACGCCATTGGAACACTTGCCATATTCATATATTTCGCGATTTATTGGAGAGTCGGAACAATCGTTGGTTGAATAAGTTTCAAATACATAAGTGTCATCTATTCGAGTCACTTTTCTGAAGTATTCTCCAACTGCAACACAATTTCGCGATATCAATTCGTAATTTAAATATTGTTGTTCATCCGTTTTTGTACACTTTTCAGTATCACTGTATATGTTTTTAACAACGTAATTCTCGGGGAAATTGACGAAGAAACGCATATTATAAAGTTCGCTCTGATCTCCAATTTCGACAAGATTGTCACATGAAAGTTCTTTTTTCAATATCACTATTTTTCTAAACCTTTCGAGTTTGAAAAAAGTCCCATCGAAACTTCTATGACATTTATCTAAAACATAAATTTCTACATTTTTTCCTTCTTTTTTCACTGCAAAATTTGCATTTGGATCAACGGCTGGTTGAATAACTTCAGAGAAGACATCTAAAGTTAACATTAAATATGTCTGACATTATTTTTTTGTTAAAGTTGTTTCATTAAGAGCATTTCCAGTGCAGTCATTACTTAGATAATATTTAATTTTGTACTTTTCAACACTTTTTATGGTTTCAAAAAATAGATGTATTAGGGTCTGCGCCAGCATACACAGAACACCAAGCCTTATGGTATTGATGTGGAAAGTGCAGTAGGGTCTACAATTAAACAACCAATAAACTCTCCATAATAATTAAAAACGAAATCGTGCTTTGGGAATGTAACTTGAACAACAAACAAAAGAGTAATATATTGGTCTGAAAACTTTTCAAGTGCAGAAGAGTTGAGATTTGATGTGTAATAACATATTTTTTTAAAATCTTCTTCTAATTTAATGTATTGGTTTGTGGCGCAAAATAACATTTACCAATTTCATAGACAATGTGAAGTGTATTGGTTTGAATTGCAAATCGAAAAACAGACAATCCAATAAAGATGAAAAGTATAAATCCTTTCATCGAATTTGAATTTTTAAGATGAAATTTAATTGAATTAATGTTATCTACATTAAATCATATTATATTTAAACTAAAACAATATTATTAATAAGTTTTTTGAATATAATAGCGAGTTATTTTATCGTTTAATGTTTATTGTTTTTATTATTCAATTCAATGAAACATCGAAATTAAAAAAGATTTAACAAGAATATGAAATTTACTTAAAATTTGTAAAAAATTTGTTATATTTAAAAAATATATAAAGTCTATAACATATAATTGAAACAGTCAAGTTTTAAAACCTTTTTGAATGTTATGTTGATAAAAACATTTAGCAATTTCACGGATAATTTTATAATGGCAAAATAGTTTAAAATACGACTAACCATTTAGTATAACACGAATCAAGTTTAATTCATTTGTCACAATAAATATAATTACAATCGAATAAAAAATACATTTTTATAAAATTGACAATTTGATTTGTGTACAAATTTATTATGTTTGCAATTTTTCAGTTTCTCTATTTATATTTTGTCAATAATACAACAAATATTAACCGAATTTGGATTTTAATTAATGTATAACAAATTCAAACAAAATATAATAATTTAGCTCTTATTTCAAACATTAAAACAATTTATTAAACAACACTTACATTTTTAAAAAGCCAGTAAATCAACTATTTTATCAATTGTTATTCTGTTAGTTTGTTCCTGTACCCAACACATTTTAATAACATCATACAGAGGTATTGGCATTTTTTCTTTTCTTTCAAGTCGTTTACCTGACATCACAAACTCTGCTATTTTCCATGGGTATTTAAAGCTATCTTTTTTATATGCCTCACTCCACCCAACCACCTCATACATAGTCACTCCGAAAGAAAAAATGTCCGCGCTTTTAGTGTATTTCTCTCGTTTTAAAATCTCAGGTGCCATATAAATTGGCGTTCCAATACCTTTAGTGAAAGTCATGTTAGTCATCAGTAGATTGACGTTTCTTGCACTTCCAAAGTCTGTCAATTTTGCATTCACCTTTTCATTTACATCAAGTGAGAACACAAGAATGTTGTCTGGTTTGATGTCTCTGTGTAATATCCCATTCTTGTGTAAATATGAAATACCTTTAGCTGCATCAAGTAACATTTTAACTCGCAACTTGGTCTCAATTTCATCACTTCTTTTGTGTTTAATTAAGTCTTGTAAACTCCCAAATTGTGCAAATTCGGTGACCATACATATCTTGTTTGGTATAAAAACGGCGCCATAGAAGTGGACAATGTAATCACATCTGAACTTGTCCAACATGGCAACTTCCTTCTCAAACTCATCAATTGATTTTTTTTCATCTGAGTTGTTTATTTGTTTCATCTTTTTAATTGCAACAACATTTCCTCTGTACATTCCTTTGTACACAATACCAAAAGACCCCTCACCAAGCTTCTTTTCTTCAATTAACTCATCGTAGTCAAGACATGTCGAGTTTTCAGTCTTCGCATTTATAATAACATAAGACATTGAAGACATTCCACTGTTTAAATCTAACGAGACAATTGCGATTTTGTCTTCTAAATTGAAAGTACAATATGGTGTTAAAAAGACTTCAAATTCGCACGCAAATCCACTCTTTAAAGTCACTAACTTTGGTTCTGTTCTCATTAAATATTTTTTTTGGTGTTTGGTGTTGTGATTTGGACTTTTAGATTTCCTTTTCCTTTGTTCCCAACACAAAGAAGTTCTCGACTTTCGAAATTAACTTTAATAAAGTCTTTTGTGTCATCATTATTATTAAAACAAATTTCAGTCTTATTTGTCAGAATGTTGTTTCCAAGTACTTTCATTGAAATATTCGATTTTTTCATTTCAAACACACAAATAGCATCTTCTTTATCTGTTTTTTGTTTTTTATTAATGAGATAGAATATTATGATTATCATTAAAGTTAATAATACCAAAACTACTAATGTCATGACAACAGGAAGTACGACGACCAAACCATAATTTGTCGTTTTATCGCATTGAGTGCCTTCTGGATTGACTTTGAAATTGTCAGCACATTGCGTGCACTTGTTGTTTGATGCAGAAACACAATTTGAAACAGTTGAGAAATGGACACACTGTGAGTCGACTAAAATGTGTGTTGCAAGACAACTTGTGCACTCATTCAGTGATGTGCAGAGTGTGCAGTTGTCATCACACTTATCACACACATTTGTGTGTAAATAGTACCCATCGCCACATATCAAGCAGCCATAAGTGCTTGTGTTGAGACACCCAATTAACTCACTTTGTGGTCTGCAGTATTTATTGCTTGTATCAATGCGATAGAATGTGTTGTTGCAGTCAATGCAGTTGCCAAAGACATCACATTTTGCACACGACTCATCGCATTTGTCACAACTTTTGCCATCGGTGGATCGTTTGTATCCATCTTTGCAAATAGCGCATCCATCGTAATTTGGCATCATTGCCAGACATGTTGTGATGATTTCTCCAAGTGTTGTGCAATCCCCATTTGTGTTTGGATACGAGTATTGGTCACACTTTGTGCAGAATGTCAGATTGGAGCAGTGTGTGCAGGGGTACTCGCACTTCACACAAACGCCGTTTTGGATGTAATGCGTGTCACCACATCGCAAACACCCTTTTGAACTCTTTTCAATGCAATTCGACTCATCGTTTTGGTCTGCTTTTGGTGTTGTTTTGGTGTTGTTGTTAATATCATTTGTTTGTTGTGTGTTTTGCAATTGATTTGAAATTGATTTGAAATAAGTTTTTGCTGTGTTTTGTAGTGTATTTGTCACACAAATGCCGTTGATCAAATTGTGCTTGGTTTGACACTCAGCGCAGTGTTCGCCAACAACTGACTGACATGACGGGAAATGTGTCTCAATCAACTCACACCTCTCAAGTGTTTTGTACTTGTCTGCTGCACACTTCTTGCAGACGCCATCAAACACAGCACAGTCCAAATTGTCAGTTGGGTAACACTTCCCATCTGATGTGATTGTTGTTGCATCATATTTGATGCAAATGTCTTTGTTTTGGATTTCACAGTTTGCAATTGTGTTTTGTGTGCACGTGTGGTCTTCAATGTGGTGATTTGTGATGCATCCAACACAATCACTCGACTTTCTTGTGTTGCATTTGACATCGGCATGACATTTGTAATTGCTATCAAACACATATGGATTTGCACACTTATAATCAATTTCATTTTGATTGATTTGAATACAAAGACTGCCACTCATACACTCCAAAATTCCATTTATTGTTGAAAAATATCCAATTGCTGCCAAATAACAAAATGAGTTGTTTGATATTGCGCAGTGCTGCTGTTGCAGTCCACACAACTCGTCACTTTTGCATTGGAGACACTCACCAACGCCACTCACAACTTTTGTGTATTTGCAGTTGTCTGCTGTTTCTCCACAGTTTGCTGTTGTGATGGTTTCTGTCGCACACACATCACACGTCGTTGTCGAGTGTCTTACACAGTTACTCTCAACATCAATGCAACTCCCATTGACAAGCAGAGTGTTTTTACATTGTATGCACGTTGTGTTCACCTGTTTCACACAATTATCATAATTCAATATTGATTTCTTTATGTCGTAGTTGTAATAAGTACCCTCAGTGTAACCCAACACACACGACTTGCTGTTAGTTGACACCACATATGGCGCAAAACATCCAACACACACAAAGTTGGTGTTGTTGAAAGTGCAGTTGTTGCAGTTGTTGATGGCGTCATAACACTTCATGCAGCTCTGTGTGTCGATTTTGACTTCGCTTGCACCACACTTGTAACACGAAGTGCCATCTGTCACAAAGTCGTCTTTGCAAGCAACACACACTTTTGCATTTCGTGAACATTTCACACAATTGGGATCAATTGTGTTGCACAAGTTGCAACTGTTGTCTTCATCATTTAAATAGTAATTCTCTGCGCATTCAACACACACCCTGTTGCTCTCATTTTCGTCTGAATCACACGTATTGCAATTCCCATTTGATGCACACGATGTACATTCACCTCCAACTTTCTTAAAACCAGATGAACACGACGAGCACACGCCACTCTCTCTGATGCAATTATCACAAATAACTGGACACGGTTTGCAACTGCCAGTCCCGCCTGTGGAATAGTAGCCATCATGACACAATGTACAACTTCCATCAATATAGCCTATCCAGCTTTGCATGTGGTGCACTTCCCGTTTGTTTTGTCACACGACGCACAGTTTGTGCTGCATGCAAGACAGACAGACTGCCCCTCTTCACTTTGGTATTTCATCTCTTCACAATCATCACATTTTGTGCCATATGAGTGTGTGCCACGTTGGCATATCTCACAGCTCTGTGAGGCGTTCAGTTGATACCCTGAATAGCACGTCAGACACTCACCAGTTGTTTTGTCACAGGTGTTGCAAACAGATAAACATGCCTTACATCTGGTGGCACCTTCTTTGGAATACGTATCATCACCACAACTTGTGCACGAAGTTGCATTATGCTCTGAATACGTTCCAGCAGCACACAACTTGCAGCCGTTAGTTGCTGCATTTGCATATTGCCCACCTTTCACAGCCAACACACTGGCCTGTTGGTTGTAAGACATATCCACTTATGCAACTCAGACACTTCCCACTTGCAGCATCACAGTGATCACCACACACATCAGCACAATGTACACACTCGGAATACCCAATCAGACTGTAATACCCGCCCTGACACGGCGTGCACGCAGTACTCCCACCTGTCGATGAATGCGTCCCATTCTCACATTGTTTGCATGCGTTATTGTGCTCGTAATACCCGACCGCACACATTGTACACACTTTGTTGTTGGTGGCATATCCAATTTGACACGATGTGCAATACCCATTCGTTGAATTGCATGTCACACACGTCGTGTCACACTTTCTACATGAAGCGGAACCGCTTGATGAGTAATAGTTAGTTGGACACTCCACACACATGTCGCCACTTGGATACGTCCCTGCCCGACATGGTGTGCATTTGCCATCCGTCAATATATAACCAGAATTACATGTTGTGCAGTTGCCATTTGTTCTATCACAACTACCACATGTAGAATCACAACTTGAACACACAGAAGCACCACCAAACGAGTAATAACCACTATGACACACTGTGCATGTACTTGTTCCCCCATGTGAGGAATACCCAGCTGGACACAACAAGCAGCTACGACCATTGAAACTACACCCACCAACACAACTTGTGCAATTCCCATTTGTTTTATCGCAGGTCGCACACAATTCGTCACATTTTGTGCAGTTGAGAACAGTCCCTCCAACAGAATAATAGCCATTTTTACACTCTACACAATCAACTCCACTTTGGAAATACCCGGCTTCGCACGTTTTAGAGGACACACCAATCAATAACATCACAAGTAAACACCACAACGCATTCATCGTGGGTTTGACGGTGTTTTGTAAATATATTGAGGACATCGTATGCAATATATTGACTTGTATCATATCTATATAACAGTTCAGTTTATTGTTCCAATATTTCTATAATGTTATTTCTATTATTTGTAAATATATCATTAATTTTACATTATAGTTCTTTTAATTATTTTGAAATTATATATACTATTTTAATATTAGGTTATATATTAAAATGAATAGTTAATATACAAATGAACTAGAAATAATACTAAAATATTTGGAATTATTTCGAACAAATATATAAATTTATTTTTTATTCATTGAATGCGATGATGTTTATAAAAAAATTATCAAAATCAATTTAGAGTCAGTCCGTAAATGTTGTACACAGGGTCGGCCAAACGATCATGTTATTGGAAAAAACTTAAAAAACAATAAAATGGTAAATAACATTATCATTTTTGAAAAACAAAAAGAAAATGACAAAACACAATTATTTATACCATATGATAAAATGAAAAAAAATAAAACGATAATTTATATCAAACACCAAAATGTTATTAAATTACTTTAAATACAATATAATAATATTTTTGTGTTGATTTAATTGTACACCAAACCTTTCAATTGTAAATTATACATGCAAATAAAACTTATTCAAAGTTACTCTGATAATTGTTTTTTATTTGGGTGATAATAATTATTTTGATTGATTATTATCGTATTATGAATTATAGTTTTTATCAAGAAAACGAACTAAAATTAAGTTTTACTGTTTTGAACGTAATATGATTCACTCCATTCGAAAAAATAATACATTTTTTGTTTTGTATTATTGCTAAAGATAATAAAATCACTTCTATTTGATTGATTAATTAATACCATAATTTAAAAAGGACACGAATAAACTATTCAAAACCTTTGTTAAATTGACAAATATACATTTGTCAAATAACAAAAATACATACATTAACAATTAATATTAATGTGTATGTTGAAAAGGTATATTAATTGTTTAAATAAAAATTTTAAGTTGAAATCACTAAAACTATTTCTAATAATTTTTATTGGTTGTTAGTATCTTCTGTATATACAACAATTATAAGGAGTGAATATTGTTATTTAATTTTAAAAACTTTACATTTTACCATTTCATATGTTATTTACTGTTCAATTTTTGTTCTTTAAAACTATTTTATAACACAATGGAATGATGATTTAAACAATATAAAAATTTTGTTTGAATCATTAACTATAGTTTTACCAATTTTTAAAAACATTTTAACTCTAAAAAACTTTTTTAGTTTTTTGTTAATAATATGCTAAAACTAAAAATGAACTGACACGTATTAGAGATTGCCACGAAGTTGTTTAAAAACTGGATCTTGGCCGACCCTGTTGTACATTTGACTTTTCCATGTTTTTTATCCTATTTTTCGGGATTTTTTTGATTTTTCCCAATAGTGCGTTTTTATTTTTTGTTGCTATTTTTGTTTTTATCCTAATACCCCCCAAAAAATTGAAAACAAGTCTAATATTCGTAAAGTGTACAACGTTTACAGACTGACTCTATACAATTTGGACACATTGCCTTAGAGCTGCCATAATTTGTAAATTACTTAATATTTTTTTGTTTATTTAGTTTTTTCAAAAAAATAAATACAAATTGAAATCGGGAAATTAGCTTATTTTTTATTTTTTCAAAAAAACCACAATATTTGAATAGTTAATTTGTTATTTGGTTAATAATTTAATATTAATTTAAAATCAATGCTTATTGTAAAACACATGTATCAACAAAACATTAAAAAACATCACTTGTTATCAAAAAATAAAAAAGGACAATAACAATCAATTCAATTTTTGTTTTGGCCAAGTGGTAAAAAACAAATTAATAATATTTTAAATAAAATAAAATAGTCCACTACTTAATCGTATTAAATACATTAAACATTCACATTATCTAATACAACTTTTAAAATTAATTATAATTAAAAATAATTTACATAAATCAGCCTGACAATTATATTTATCCAGTAAAAAATGACAAAATAATAAATAACAGTGACCAATGCGAAATATTTTATTTCCTTTATTTAAATATTTATCGAGTAAATGTTGTATTACAACCACAATTTGATAGTTGTTTACATTGTTGGTATTATTAAATACAAATATTAATATTAAAAAAAATAGTTGATTTAAAAAGTATTCTGTTTTTGTTTATTTATCAACAAAAACTTTGTATTTTGGTTGTTTTTTATATTATTAATCAAATTTGTTTTCACACTGTTTAATTATTGATTGGTAACACATTTGCTCAAAAAATAGAAACTTATTGATAATTAATTGTTGTATTTATCTTTTGATACTCTATTGACAATATAATATATTATTTTTTTCAACTCATTAAAATAGTGTTATTAATTATTAGTTTTAAAATTTTATTAAGATATCATTTTGAATGAACAAACAACAAATATTCAATTGTGTTCATGAATATTTATTGACAATTTATTTTTTCAATTAAAACATATATTATAATGACATTAAAATTTTTGATTTTATTTGTCACTTTTGTATAATTACTATAATATTATTACAAAACAAACAAATTAACATTAAAATTAATTTCATTTATTTAATTGTATAACTACAGCGATAAAAAATAAAGTACAGCTTATATTGATAATTGCACTTAATCAAATATTTTTATGTTTTTAAAACGTCTTTTAATTATCATTGTTTAATTATACAACATAATGAGAATTGTATTTTGATAACACAACGACAGGTATGCTCCAGTTTAATGGATACACCATTATTTTTAAAATGTTAATATTTAATAAAATGAATTGGTCTAATAATTTCATTATTAACTGTTACATTTTTATTAAGAAACTCTGTTATCATAATTAAAATGCTTATATTTTTAAATATAATCATGAGACATCAAACAATATTTATAAAGTAACACAATAAAATAAAGAGAATATTTCTATTTACAACATTTATAAATTTTGATTCGTATATTACACATGCGTGAAAGCAAAAAAATGATCATTGCTTTCATTCAAAAGTTAATAATTGTAAAAAATTAATTTGATATACAAAGTCTAAAATAATTATTTTCATTTAATTGATATTCTATAATTTCTCTCTAGTAGTTTTCAGTAATAACATTTTCAATAAAAGGATTTAAACAATCATAATAAATAACATTTATTAAAAGGAAAGAAATACACAATTTTAATATGGATTATTGAAAAGGTTTAATTTTACTGTTTTATCCACAATGAGTGTTTTAACTGTTATCATATATTTTTTATTTTTATTTTTATTTTTATTTTTATTTTTATTTTTATTTTTATTTTTTGTTTTGTTTTGTTTTGTTTTGTTTTGGGGTTTTGGTAATATTTTTAAAAATATGCCGAATGAAAAATTGTTTAACAATAAATAACACGAAATAAAAATATTTCAAAATAAAATATAAAAAAATAGTAGAGTTTAATTTTTGAGTTTTGCCTTGATGATAATTTAGTTATTAGATTACCGAGTAATTTAACTATTTGGTAATAAAATTACTGAAATTACCTATTACTGAGTAATTTAGTAATTCGAAAATTATTGCAGCTCTACTTCACCTTGCTATAAAATATACAATTCAAATTTGAGTTGATACAAAAATAAATAAAAAATTTCAAAAATTTGTTTTGTGTATGAAGGCAAAAAAGGGTTTAAATAAAAGAAAAAAATAAAAACTTATTATTATTACGTTTCTGTTTTGAACGTGTTGATATAATCGTATTTATTTCATTTGTCGGTTTGATAGTTTTTTCATTCGGCAAATTATGGTTCGTAATAAATAAATAAACAAATAAATAAATAAATGGATACTCTGACATAAAACAAATGATTTATAATTATTAAAAGTATTCAACAGCGGAAGATAAATCAATATAAAGAACATACATTTTATACTCTAATGGAGATTGACAATGAAAACGAGTTAAAAAGATTGATTACCAGTTTTAATTTTATATTTTTCGTATTTCATTTAAAAAAATATGTTTATTTATACTTGGTTACTTCTTTTTGGAAATAAACCAATTTGTTCTTCAAACCCATATTATTTGGTGTTTTTTTTCAAAGAAATAAAAAAGTCGAGACAAAAAACAGTTTTATTTAGTATTGTTCCTATTTTATATTTTTTAAATTGCTAAATCTTATAATCATTTATTTATAATCATGAGTTCACTTGATAGATACCACACGATGATTGTTTCACAGTGCTTCGATTCCATATACAACTTTATTGACTAAATCTGTGTTATCAAAATTTTTAAATACACAATGGAAATGTTCCATTTCAACCCAATTTCTATTAATAAGAATACTATAAAGTACTTTCCATATTTAGAAACATTAAATATAAGGTGCAACGAAGACAAAACTTTTGGAAAAGATATTTTTAATGATAATTTATACACACTTCCAATTGTAAATAAAGATAAAATCAACTTTTATCAAATTAAAGTGTGGTGTTCAGTTACATATATTTGTGTTCATATCCACAAAGGCACAAATATTCAATATAAAAATGTCATTTATACGAAAGAAGACCGAGTCAAATATTTTGAAAAAGTGATACCAAAAATGGTCACAAAATTGGGAAACGAATGCTTTTTTAAAACACAAATATCATTTATAGAAATTCCAAATACAGTCACTTGTCTTCAAGCGAATTGTTTTGCAGAATGTTTACGATTAACATCAATAACACTACATTCTATGTTACAAGAAATTGGAACACATTGTTTTATAAAGTGCTATGATCTCACTTCTTTAAATATACCAAATTCAGTTAATAATTTTGGAGAAAATTGTTTTAATCAATGTTATGGGTTAACATCAATTAGTATTCCCAACACAATTGCTGTTCTTCCAGATTTTTGTTTCTTTAAATGCACAACACTACAAAGTGTCACTTTTCCCTCTCACATTCAAAATATCAATCAAATGTGTTTTGCGGATTGTTTTTCGTTGGAAAGAGTTAATATATCAAATTGTGAATGTTCAATTAGGCGCAATGCATTTTGGTCTTGCACCAATTTGAAATCAGTAATTATAAATGGAAATGTTTCAGAAATAGATAAAGGGTGTTTTGAGTTCTGCAATGCATTGGTCGATGTTCAGCTGCCCAATGGCGTTTCGAAAATAGGCAAAACGTGTTTTAGATATTGTATTTTTCTTCAAGACATCAAGCTTCTTGGATTAAAAGAAATTCCTAAAAGGTGTTTTTGTAACTGTTTTAATTTGGAAAAAGTTATTGTACCAGAAAATGTAAGTAAAATTGGAAAAGGTGCATTTTTAGGGTGTGAAATTTTGACTAATATCTCGATCACAAGTCGTGTAAAAATACTCGAAAAACGATGTTTCTACTCGTGTAAGTCGCTAGAAATTGAAATACCAAATTCAGTGACTTCAATCG